TAGAGCTCCCTCTTGTTCCAAAAAGCATCCCAGTGCCTAACAAACTTAAACCCTTACTCCCTACACTATCGGCTCATCCATGCATTGAGACTCCTGATCTGTGCCAGTCTCACTGGCCCTGCATGTGGAACAGGTAGCACTTCTGAGAAGGCTACCTTGGAGTTTCTGGTCTTGAGTCTCCTGCCTAGCAGCCTAAATTTTTCCTCCAGGACCTCACGATTGCATTTCCCCACATCGTTGGTTCCAGCATGTACCACATCCACTGGCTCCTCCGCAGTACTGCCTACCAGCCTATCTAGAACACGCATAATGTCTGCTACCTTTGCACCAGACAGGCAAGTCACCATACAGTCAGTATGCAGGTTTGCCATCCAGCTGTCTACCTGCCTAAGGATCGAATCACCAACTACCAAGAGCTCTCCTCCCTCCCTGCACCAGCTGAAGAAAAGGTGCCTTTTGAGGGCATATTCCCCTTATCCTCAGCATGTTGCCCTGTTTCCTCTCGACCCTCATGCTCCCTGACAGCAGCGAGGCTGCCATATTCAGAGTGAGACATATCTAACAAGTCCCCAAGAGTGTTCTCCATGTGCCTGACTGTCTCTGCTTCTCCAGGTCAGCCACCTTGGCCTCGTTCCCTGAAAACCAGGAGCTCCTTGCACTGGGGCACACACCCAAAACTTTTATCCAGTGGGCAGATAGTCATACATGTGACACTCCATGCAAAACACTGAATAGCCCCCAACCCCCTGCTGGCATTCTGCCTTCATAATTGCTTTTAAAAATAATTATATATATTCCCCTTTTAAACCCCTTTGTATTTATGTGGTTCTCGGTGTAGAAGTCTATTTGCCTTACTGGGAACACAAGGAAACTAGGGCTCTAGCTTTCTGGTCATCCCTGGACTTCTTAGAGCCCTTTTGCTCTCACCAAGGCTCATGGCTCTGGCAAGGTGCAACCTTAAATAGAAGCCTTACCCAGAAGAGGGTGGGGCCAGCAGGTATTCAGATTACACCCAGGCAATCCAATTACAGTCAAACAATAACCCTTTCTCATTCTTTCTCAAGCAGCCAGGACTCTGCAACAACTTAAAACTCACCCACACACTCCCAAACACAGTCCTCCTACACAATACCCTTAGCTAGATTACCTCAGCTGAAAGCAAATAAAAACACTTACCCCTCTAGCAGCTCTGTCTCCTGGTGCTTCTCTGAGCTCAGCTGGGGTCATCTGCAGAAATATAGGCCGAGTTCAGACTGGCAGTTTGGCCTGGCAAGCAAACGTTTCAGAAGCATTTCAGTAGCGGATTAAAGGATTCACACAGGCACATCTTTCAGGCGTCCCCCAGCCATACTCAAGCCATCTTGTGCCACTTCCCTCCTGAGTTTAAAAAGTACCAGGTGAAAGTGGTAGCAAACCGTGTGTAGAGCGGGTTGATTCCGGTTCCCTGAGTGTGAACGCAAGCGCCGCTAAGGCGGGAACAACCTGCAGTCATTGATAATAGGCGCTGTGTTTCCATGCACATAGGCGCATGCAGTGGACTGCAGAAACAGCCGCTAACAGCCCACCAGGGGCGAGCCAAAAGTGCAAACACTCCCTTGCGCTTCCTCCAAGGTATCCTCCCGCTTCATTCGCTGCAGTGTGAACGGGAATACAACGACCAAGCCGTTCTTGGTCTGTTCCGGGTCTTCTTTGCCACAACTCCCTAGCGCTTCAAATTGCCAGTCTGAACTCCGCCATAGACAGTATTCAAGTCATCAGGTCTATCTTCAGCCTTGACTTGTGATCTTTTTACTTTGGAGATGAGCTATGATTCCTGGGGGTCCCCAGGTCCCACCTAGAGACTGGCATCCCTACAACAACCCTGTGAGATAGGTTAGGCTGAGAGTGTGTGATGGCCAAAGGTCACCCAGTAAACTTGAAATATCCAGCCCTATGTATTTTAATACGTCTTATTCGGATCCAGCCCTGTATAATTTTATGTGCTTTATTTATCACAGGATCATAGGAAATATCTTGCTAAGTTTGCAGCATGTAGGCAACAATATAAGTATTAATTTAATTAAGAAAAGTGTACTGGATCAGACCCATAGAATTTAAGTCCAAGTGAGTGGTTTGGGGACCTAGTTTTAGGCTTGTAAATGTTTCTCTCACTGAACTGAAATGTGACTTTAGCCACTTTGTTAAAATGTGGCTTTTATTTAAGAGAAGGAAGCAGGGTTTAATTGAAGTTGAGCCTTGCCGAGGATGAGCACTGGAACATTTTTTCTTTCCGGTGCTAGGACTTGGCTTTGGAACTGGCTAAATGGTGTGAATAAGGCAGTGTTTTCTTTCATTGGAAACTAGTATAAATTGATATCAATATGGAATGATATTGACCACTTGTCATGATGTGGGTTTCATTTGGAGCAGATTTATCAGTAGAGGAATTGGTTCAAAGACATGGCCATTCAGGAACTTTCTTTCTCCCATCTCCTAATAATTTTTTATTTGACACATGTACACTTTGCCATGATATCATGTCTTACGTTGCTTTATACTACAATCACTTGGGTCCAGGATGCTTGGAGGATTATCTCCTCCCACTCTGTCCAGCCCACCTACTAAACTCTTCCTCACAAGCCCTGCTTTCTGTGTCCCCATCTTCAGAGGGAAGATGGCTGGTGATCAGAGACAGGGTGGCACCCCACCTATGGATTGCCCTTCCCCTTGTGTCTTGCCCAGTGCCTAGGGTGCCAGAACAAAACATTTATTTTTATCCAGGCTTTTAATTAAGGAGGTTAATTTTTTAATAACTTTTCTGTATTCTGGTTGTAGGCTTAGACTTCTTTTATGAAACTTGTTTTAAGCTATTCAGTGTTTTATACCATTGCTATATTCTGGCCGTTTTCTTCCTAATGATGGGTTTAATAGTTTATTAATAGTTAATTTTTATGGTGTTTTACTTTATAAGCCACCAGGAGCAGGTTCTCTGGAGAGGCAGCATAAAAATTTACTAAATAATAAATAAGTTACCAGGAAAGGGAGAAAAGGCAATGAAATGCCTATAAGTTGCCTGTGTCTAATAACATGCCTACCTCATCTGAAATAGTGGAACATATAGCAGAACTGGTTCTTCTGTAAGTGCAAATAAAATCTGAAGTACCTGCTTGTTAATGACTGTCTTTCAAGACAGAGACAGTATCTCTCTCTCTGTCTGATGTGCTAAGAAATGTAGAGCTTCAAAGGAAAAAGGTCTTCAGATCCTAAACCAATGGTAGACCTGGGCGTGCACAGCACATCCAAATCCTCTTCTTTGAACATGTGGCTGTCTCAGATCAATTTGAACTGCTATATGGGCATCTGAGTGGGAATCTTCTGCCCAGTCACAGTACTGTATTACAGAAGTAACTTGTGTGCTTCCTCATTTAATAGCAGACAACTTTGAGGCCATTTTGTCAGAGCAATGTTATCAAAATGCCTCAGTACTTTTGCTTCTCACTAGTGGAACCAATTAGACATACCACATGCCTAGCTCATCTGCTCCTTTGAAATAGTGGAACATAAGGGAACAACCTTTCTCCTTCAAAAGTCCCCTTTTGCATTTGTGAATGGGGTATTTAGAACATGGAGATTAGCTCCACCAGCTCCCTAGTGATTATCATTGGTTTCCTGTGCAGTTACTCTATTATCACAACATAATCAGGTCATCCTTTTGCACCCATTTAAATTCAGGCTACCCCTGTGAAAATGTTTTCAAGGAGACACTGAAAAACAGATTCCTAGGGTTGCCAGCCCCCAAGTCCAGGCAGGGGTTCTCTTAGTCCTTGGGGGCTACAATCCAGCCCCAGCCAGCTGGCCGCTGGGGGACGCCCCACCCCCAAGCCCTACCCCCAAGCTTCAGCCACCTGTGGCCACCCCTCTCCCTCCCTGCTAAAAAGATTTAAAGGGCTTCAGCTGATCATTGGGGAGCACATGGCCCGCCGACCAGCTGGAGGGCCCTTTAAATCTTTTAGCAGGGAGGGACGGTGTGGCCATGGCTTGGAGGTGGGGCCTGGGGGCATCCCCGGCCTGGGGGCATCCCCACCCACCCCTGGAACACTCCCCTGTCACCCCGCAGGATTGATAAAGGGATCTGGCAACCCTACAGACTCCTGCTAAGCCACACTAAGATATGGAATGTGGAAAGATTTTGTCTGTAAAAAAAACCCAGACAACAAGAACAAAACCCTTTTGATAATTAGTCACACAGTATTGTTCTGTTAGCTTTAAGCAGATGGAGAAACATGCAAAGATGGTTTCCTTAAGGGTCAACAACTGAAGACTATCACACTTTTCCATGGACCTTGATTTTATTGCTCAGTTGAAACTGGTGTAGAATAGCACTATTGGGTGATTTCCCAATAGTGCTCACTCCTTCCTTTTGCCCCATGGTACGTGTCAATTTCACACAAGCTGCTGCGTGCCCACATTTTGCCCTGCAGCTTTGTGCGATTTTCCCCGCATCTACTCAGTCCTCAAAAAACAGGATTGAGTAGACGCGAGGAAAATCACACGAAGCTGCAAGGCAAAATGCAGCCGCGCAGCCGCTTGTGTGAAATTGACAGTTGGCACTTTTCTGGTTCTGTCAAGGATGTTGAAATACTCTAGTACTCTTTAAACTGAGGTAAAATTCCTGGAACTGGTGCATGTGTCTTTATATATTTAAATCTTTCACATGGATGTCAGATTCAGACATCTAATGTCCTTTTTAATCATGTTACCACCAACTCTTGTCTTGAGTTACAGCCAGAGGTAGTCTGGGATCCAGTGGATCACTTCTGCTGACAGAGCAATTTCCACCCATGGACTATCATTTTCTCACCTGCCCTCTCCTGCTGTAGCCCAAAATGCCTCCTGAAACCATTCTGTCAGCAGAAATGCTTCAGTGGGGCCAAGGCATTCATTGCTGGAAAGTTTTATTGTAAGGTAATGCTTTCTTTTTCTTTTTCCTTTTATTGTCAGCTGTTCTTTATTATCTGAAGTTCACTGCAACAGGACAGAAATCCCTGTGAAATAAACACATCTGAAGATGAAGCTGCAGTCCTTAATCAGTTATTTTGTTGCAGTCTGTTCCCTCTTTTGCCTGGCAGGTAAGATGACCTCTAAGTTTAATCAACCATGGATGCTGAAATGATAGTTGCTGTTCTGGGGGGGTGGGGGGATACACCAGTTTAACTGTTATTGGAAATTTGTTTTAAGTTTCATTTTTAATAATTGTTTTCATTTTTAAATTTTTTTTACAGAAACATTGAATCAACATTAAAATGTGCAAAGAAGAAATTATTTTACACTTTAATTTTTTTTACTTGTGTTTCTTGTCTCTCTGTCTAAGTACACAAAGCACAATGGGATGTTTTACAGTGTACAGGTTGGAATATTAGACGAGGAAACTGGTTTAGATCCTTATGTTGCCATGTAGCTCATTGAGTGATTGTGAACATCACACTATTTCTCTGCCTACGCGATCTCATGGGGTTGTTGGGGAGGGTAAAACAGGAAGGCCTCATCTTGGAAAAACTATGGGATAACTATTTAACAGATAAGTGCCTAAACTAATTACATTCATTGTTAGCTATTTAAGCTTGGATTTTGACAAGTAAGACCCCTGGCATATTTAGGATTGAAGTTAAAGTATGTATGTTATCCATTAATATGTGGCTGAAAGATCATTTTAATCCACAAAGTTTGTTCCCCTTGATTCTCCAAGTTGATTTCCAATCCAGTTGGCTTAAGGCTGTTTATAGCCATATTAATATAGTTGGCTTTTCTCAGGTACTCTTAACTTGTGGACTTGAGCGAGCAAAAGGGCTGATTAAACAAAGAATCAAGAATATAGAGCAGCAATCTGATATCTCTAGTGCATCAAAACTTGGGGCATTACTAAATGTCAAAAGCACTATTGAGCCAACAACATATCCGGCCTCGGTGGAAGTGAATAGTTTTAGAAGGGCGTTTACTCTAGTTAGGTGTTTTGCTCTCCCTTCTGCAGTTATTGAGGGCAGGTATAATAAAATCCCCTATCCAGAAAGGTTATGCTCTTATTCCCTTGGGGAGGCTAAGTCTGTAGAACACATGTTCTTTAGCTGTCCACTCTACATGGAGGTACGTCTTGGAATTATTACTCCACTAGCCGCAAAGCCCATTGCAAAGTCAACGCAACAAGCTCTAGCATCAGCCTCCTCAGTGGCTGGCGTCTCCCTCCTGCTGGCGGCGGCCTCCCAGTGGCTGGGCCGCCAGGCACTCACATGCATGTGGCCACTCACTGGGTGCAGCGTGAGGAGGCCCCAATCAGCAGAGCATTCCCCATGACCTTCGCTGGCACCTCCCTGCCCACCTTCCCTCTGGGGAGGTATTGGCGCTGCCGCTGCAGCCACACTGGTCTCAGCTCAGTGGCTCCAGACAGAAAGCGCAGCGGACAGCGGGGACTGCATGTGGCTTACCGGCAGTGGAGAGTAGAGGGCAGCCGGGGGACATGGCTCCGGCTCCTCACCTCCCATCATTCCCAGAGGTGAACCCGGGAGCGGAGCAACCACCGAGTCAAATAAGTGGAGCCCCACGAGGAGCTTGCCCACGCTATACCCTGGAGGCAAATGGGGTGCGGGGAGTTGCGGGGCTGTGGACTAAATTTTTGTGAGCCTGCCAGGAGGCAGTCCCCAGGTCTGCCTCAAGCTCATCCGGCCGCTGCATCAGAGGTCCCGCCCTTCCTCTCTCCACCACCCCTACCCTGCCGGCCTCAGCATGTGGGCCACCGGCTGGCAAGTGTGTTTCCCAGCTCTATGAGCGAGCTGGAACACTCTGCGAGCCAGCGGGGCCCCAGGGCCCATGCAGGCAGAGGCTGGGTGGCAAAGTGGTAGGCCTCGGAGGTGTCCAGCCACTGGAGCATCCATCCCACCCAGCGGCTCTGTGGAGACTTAGGGCGAGATGCCGGCCAGCAGGTCTGTGGGCAGGATGGAGGTGATGGAGGGAGGCAATGCGGCCAGGGGATTGGCCCCCCTCCTGAGCGACAGATCAGGCACCCAAAGCCTGGGGAGGCATGTGGAAGAGTCTCACACGAAAACTCTTTTATATATAAGGAGAGATTACTTGATATGATCCCCAACCATGTAAATACAAATAAAGCAAGGATTCATTGGTTTTTATCTGATAATAATTCTAAGATTACATGTCAAGTTGCTAAATTCTGTGCATTAATTTTCAAATTATGGGAACTGAACCTTAAAAGCTCTTAAATTTGCAATTTTTTATTATTGTACTTTATGTTTGAATAAATTGTATGCTGATCTAAAGACCATAATAAACAACAACACCTACTACTACTACTACTACTACTAAGACCCCAGTTTGCTTAAACTTGATAGTCACAAAGTTTGCTGGTTCTGCTTCTTATACAGACAACAACAGGGGTATTAGTAGAATGAGTTTATAGCCACACAATTACTTATTTAAGAAGTAAAGCACATCCAGAGTGAAACGCAAATCTCTGACCCCATGCCTGGCTTTGATAAAATGTATTGTTTTGTAAAAAATTACGCTTATGAAAAAAGGGAAGTCGGATAATGGAAATGCATTGTAATCAAGGACAGTTTTGGGGTAAGAATCGCTGCTGCACACATGAAATTCTAAAATATTGCTCAAAGTAAATTTTGGGTCCAGCCCTACTTCAAAGGTTCAAGTGGGTAACAATATAAAAGCAGATATTTAATAAGAAAAATGGAAGGCAGTAGGAAAAGAAGACCTAACATGAAATGGATTGACTCAATAAAGGAAGCCACAGCCTTCAGTTTGTAAGACTTGAGCATTTTGGAGGTAATTAATTTATAGGATTGCAATGAAAGCAATTACATTTGTCAAATATCAAACCTCCTAACATTTAGGTGTCTTGACCTTTTGAGAGGACTATGCATTTTGAATTTTTTGTGCAGAGTGAGCTTAACTTAAAGGCTGTCAACAAAGCTGATTGCAAGAGGGCAAAAAATCTCATTTAAATGTTCTTTAACTTAAAGAACTTGGGCACAAGTCCAGTACAAAGACTAGAAATGTGTAAAACACACTAAGCATCAATGTTACTTTAACGCATTACATTATACATTAGACTATTCTCCAACTTCTGATATATTCCATTCCTATCCCTTTTCTTTGCAGAGCCACAGTTCCTTTTGACATGTTGGACTGTACTATTTTTAAACAATAATTTGAATTTTAGCAGCCAGCTGTGGTGCTAGTTCTTAATCAACCTCTTCCAATTAATCTTCGTAATAAAAATCTAACTATTTGGAAGCAGACATTTAGAATTTGTATTATGAATTATTTATTGTAAATGGTTTGGATTCAGATAAGCCTGGTTGTACAGCGCTCTTCTGGACTCATGACCTGTGAGCATATACTCATAACTTTTGCTTCCAGCATCAGCACTTGGCTTTGTGGGGTACCATTCGGGAAGTTTCTCTGAAATGTCTTCTTATGATGCTTTGATAGCTGCTGCTTAAACACAGCTTATCATTTTATTTGTGTTTATTTTGGAGGACTTTTTTAGAGGACAAATGCAAACTCTGAGATTGCTTTATCAATGAAAAGAACTGCTTGGGGGGAGAGAGGGGGAAAACTTTAACCCTATCCTCCCCCCACCATTTTCTCATTGGAAAAAGCCATATCTGAACTGCTTTTATCACAACTGAAAAAAAAGAAACAACCGATATTGTAAGTTTTCCTGAAGGTTGTATTTGTTAAAGAAAAAAAACTTTCACTGAAAATAAACATGGAAAAATAGGTAGATGTAGCTGAGCACTAAAAAGCTTTGCATTCCACCCCATTTTGTGATGGAAATGCAAAATTTGGGTTATGATTACAATTCAGGCAAGGGTTGCCAGCTCTGGGTTGCAAAACACCTGGAGATTTTGGAGGTGAGGCCTGTGGAGGGTGGGAGGGGATGCACCTCATCAGGGTATAATGCCACAGAGTCCACCCTCCAAAGGAGCCATTTTTTTCCTGGTCTTGGTTGGCTGGAGATCAATTTAAGTAGGAGATTTTCAAGTGCAACCTGGAGGTTGGCAACCCTAATTCAGGCCTTTAGATCTTATAGCCTCAACTAGCACCGCTGTTCATTCTTCAGGTCTTCCAGAGACCATCCACGTAAATTCCTGTTCCTCTAGTGGATCTAGCGGGACTAACCTTACGGTTGATTTGCCATAGAAGAAAAGATCTTTCAGGCGTTGAGGAAATTCTTACTGTTTTCTTCTCTTATTCTTGTCCCACAATTTCTGCACATATTTAAAGCAGACAGAGCAATGTTCTCCTTTTTGTTATGACAGTATGTGTTTTCATGTTGCTTAGAGTTTGCTCTTCTTTTATTGAACATAGGCCTAAGGTGCTGCAGTGCTGTGCGCCATTCTGGTGAGTGATGTGACAGTCACAGACTTCCCAGTTTGCTTCTGCACAGATTTATGCAGTGACATGCTCATGAGATAAATGACTGATGAGATTTTTATTAATTCTATGCTGGTAGGCAAAATTCCAGAATGCCAAAGGCCTAAAGGCAGAAACAGCCAGTTACTTTTTGGGTATCTGCAGCTATGGAATTTTGCAGAGGGGTTGACAATCACAGCCTTTATTCCCCCCCCCTGTTCTTCTTTAGAATGAAACGCCTGGAACAGTGGTGTCTCTGAAATGTTGTTATCCTCACTTGACACGCCATCACTTTCCCCTGATCCTATCTTGGTACAATAAAAGTTTTGTTATCTGACACTTGATTATCCAGAACGCACAATTAATTGATATCACTCAGAGGGCGGCTCCCCCCTCCCCCTCCTCCTCAGCCCTGTGTCTTCAGATGCATGCATGTCCTGCTTCTAGCAATTTAGAGCTACCGGCTCATTTCTGGGCTTCTGCCAGCTGGTGCTGCCAGCAGATACCATCCTTGAGGGCTTCCTTCCCCCTCAGCTTGCCTTGAGCTGTCAGGAGCCAGCTCCTGGGCAGCTATCCCGCTTGTCTGCCTGCTGTATAGGATGGTTCTGTGGCTCTGGGGGAGGTGAAGGGTCCTGCCAGGGGTGGGGGCTGCCACCATGTCATTCCCGAGTTTGGTTACTGCAGATTCCTAGGTAGAGCTTGGGGCAGAGCAGTAAGCTTGAGGATCTGGCACATTCAAAACCGGCAACCTCTATTCCCCATCAGTGCTGACTAACAAAGCTTTTGCTGTATTACTTTCCACTTCACAAAAGCCAAAAACTAAAGTTCTAAATGTTGTAGGCATGTAATACTCAGTCAAACCAAAGCACTTTACAAACTCCCTGGTTTCAACAAGAGAGATTAAAGCATGTAAACATCTTCCATTGAAAGAATGGGAATTTGAAGTGCTTAATTTTGGCTGGATGTTCAGGGTTCAGAATAAGTATGCAAACTGAACAAGGAAGGTGTGCAGATTTGCATATAATGTATTGATTTACAGAATTCTATGCTGTGTCCCTCATCTTCACATGTCTTCAGTGTTTTATTTTAATGTCAAACACATTGTTTATTTTTTAAAGCTACATGTTCATTTTGTGCACAGTTTGTATACAGCTTGCATAAACATATGACAATCTTTATAATATTTCTTATTGGTGAAATGTCTGGTACATAGTTTCTTTTTTGGTAAAAAAAGTGAAGGCTTCCATCCTCACATACATGGTGGTAATGAGCTGATATTCAGTGTCCAAACCCCAAAATTATGTGCATGGTGTTCTGTGATCCTAATTTTTGTGTGTCCTGAGAATATAAAACTTCAGACCTGAGTAGAAGGTAGACATTTTCTAGTGACAAATTTGTAATATAGTCTGAATTTGCCTCCATAAATATAGTGTTTGAAGGAGTGAACAAAGTTATCATCTTCTAAGTGGGTCTGAACCTGGATTGTTTCTCAAGTTGTGAAACACATATCCTGTACAAAACTGACTGCCAAATCGCAGAGTAAGCTTTTCCTGCATTTCTGCTAGTAGTTTTGGCCACTTGCATTTCATGCTCTCAGAGCAACAAAGGCTGGTCATGAAGAAGAATTCTGAGACAAAGTAATTTTCTTCCTTGCTTTCTCTTCCTTTCTCTCTCAAATGTGTTTGAAGTACATGGTGCATTCCCGGGACATAGAGGTCATATGCATGGTAAGTTTCTATCCTTTAAATATTTCATTGTGATAATTCCCATTCATTTAACTATTGCATTTTTTCAATAACATAGAGTTTCGGGCTAGAACATAATAGCTTGACAAAGGCTGCAGTCTCAAGGACCCTTTCTTGGGAATGAGACCCATTGAATAATGTGGAACTTACTTTTTAGTAGACGTACTTAGGATTGCTCCCTACGTAACCCTATGAGTTATACATCCCCAGAGGACTTCACTTAAATGGTGAGGATAGTGACACTGTAGGCCAGTGCTATTCAACCAAAGGAGCCACATTTACTTTCATCCCTGGCATGAAGCCTGCACCTTAAGGAGCCTCACCTGTTCCTCTGGTGCCTGTTTCAAGACGGGATAAACTACCAACCACAATCCCCAGCTGGCAAGGGCCCTCTCACTTTCCTGAAATATGAAGCAAGGCCACATTGGGAAACTGTGTTTATATACTGTTCTTAATATACCAAGAAGAGCCACATGTGGTTCCTGAGCCACTGAGTATCACTGCTATAGGAAAAAGAAAATTATTGTATAATCTTCTGGTGACATGGATTTTCTTGCTTGGTGAGTTGCTTGTGAGTTATACCATCATGACTATAAGAATTTGCCTGGATAAATCATGAACTCTCAGAAATACAGGATTTGGACTCAAGCCAAAACTGAGATGATGGAGATTATTTGTCTTTGTGTTATAGCATGGGTTTATACACAATGGATGAGCCCTTATTGCCACCATGCAGATTATACTGCAGTGTGACCCAAACCCTCTGTAAGACAACCTGCCAGTGTAGAATACCACTTTATGTTATTTCTTCTTTCAAAACAGTAAGGCAAGATCATGGGAACTCTGACTCCCACACTCACAGAAAAGGTTTGATTCACACTGCAGGCTTTCTGCATGGTGGAGAAGAAAAAGAAGAGACTGGATTTATACCCCAAGGAGTCTCAGAGCGGCTTACAAACTCCTTTCCCTTCCCCTCCCCACAACAGACACCCTATGAGGTAGGTGGGGCTGAGAGAGCTCTGACAGAAACTGCTCTTTTTCAAGAACACCTCTGACAGAACTATATCTTGCCCAAGGTCATCCAGCAGGTGCAAGTGGAGGAGTGGGGAATCAAACCCAGTTCTCCCAGATTAGAGTCCACACACTTAACCACTACACCAAACTGGCTCTCTGTTTTTAAAGCACGTGAATTTCTGCAGACACAGCTTGGGGAACCAGAAGAGGGCAATGGGGAGGAAGAAGAAAGCAAATCTGACAGCGAGTTGGGCTCGGGGTCTTCAGACGAGGACTCCCCTCTGAAAAGGGGGCGGCTGCCCCCAAAAGCTCATATAAACTGAGGATTAGAAAAGATAAGAATAAATAAGGGCTGGAGGACTTTGATTTGTGCCTGAAAAAAATGTTGAAATAACTTGGGGATGCTCTGGGAACTTCTTTAAACAGTTAAAGGGATGGTTAAATGATAATTAATCTAGCATAACCGACTAAGTTCATTGTATTATTAGTAGCTTTTTGAAAATAGCATGGTGATAAGCTGATGTATTGATCTCCTACCCTTGGGTTTTTAGTTAGTTGTGGGTCTTTTTTCTTTTTTCCCTAGAGGTAGTTCCCTTCCCTATATTTTCTGTAGTAGCTTTGTAGTCTGTAAAAAAATCAATAAAAACCTCCCCCCAGGGGGATGGGAAAAAAAAGTTTGTGGCATTTTTTACAACGTGTACCTTGTTGGCTCTAAAGATAAAGACTGACTGCATATGCAATTATATCCTGCCACTGAATGAACAGGAGACACAAAGACTAACACAGTTTTATTCCAGCATGAGGTCCTGTCAGAAGAGTTCATTTTTTCAGATGCAATGAGTGAATCTTCACTATGCAAACATTTTTACATATTTTATTACATTTTCAGACACCGCATTTGAAGAAGAACAATCTAGTTCTTGAAAGTTTATGCTGCAATAAAAACTGTGTTGGACTTCATGATGCCACAAATCTCTTGTTTATGTTTTTCTGCAACAGACTAACCCCTTTGGAATTACTTCCAGTGCCTCTGTATCTTGCGATAGCAACTTTGGGGAAAAATAACAAAACATGACTGTACTTGACAAGAGAAAAACATTACTTCGTCTGTTATTGTGACTGTAATCCTCAAGAATTTTGGAATACCCCTTTAAGTTTTTATGTATTCATTAATGGCAAATTATTTTTTTGCATCTTTCAAAAAAGTAAATACTAATCTAGAGTTCAATTTCTGATTAAAGGCTCCAAGCAGTTCTTGAAAGTATGGATGTAGGTTTGTATATTTCCATTCAAAAACTATAAAAATAACATTGGTATTTGGAGCTATATTTTGGTATCTAAATGGTATCTGGGATTTTGGGGAGCACCAAGAAATGGGTCCCCCAAACCCCCAAGAAATATTCAGAAGTATCTGGGAATATCAGGGGCCAGCATTTTTTGGATCACATGACTGTTTGTCTTCAACTGTACAGTGTATTTGTGTCAGCGTCTTCTTGCTGTGGCTTGGTATTGGTTCTGTCGGTCTTGCAATAGTGTCCCTTGCTTAAGTTGGTTCCTCTATTTTGACATTGGCTTGGATGTGCTGGTTTGACATTGACTTGAAATCTTTTGTTTGATATTTCTTGGGCTTGCTTGGAACCAAGTGTTCCTTGGTTAAGTCAGGTTGCCTGGATTTGACATTGGCTTGGATTCTGTAGTTTGACATTGTTAGTGTTAGGTTTGCCACACTGAGCCAAGATTCTGCTCGGATTCCCTAGTTCTGCATCAGTTCTGTTGGGCTTGTTGGTTCTGTTTGCTTTTGGAGGCTTTTTGCCAGTGGTTTCTTTGTTTGTTCTTGTTTATTTGGCTATTCTTTGCCCTGGAAAAAACATGCCCCCCATACGAAACAATGGAGGATAGCTGGAGTCACCTTGTTCAGGAGCCTATAGACTGAACACCTGTATCCAATCTACTTGAAACTTGGGAGTTTTTTAGTTGATAGGCAGCACCAGCTCCTCTGCAATTTGCGGTGTCATTCGCTTGAAAAACAGCCACTCCAGCCCTCCCCCCCTAGAAATATTACCGATAGGAAATAATGAACTCGAATAATATCAGAATCCCCCCCCCCCCATAAAACACACATCCAAATACCAAACCAGTATTTGGGACCTGAATAATCCAGAATATGGATAATTATGCCCACTCTGAAATCCAGATCTGAAAAATACCATTTTTTCCTGATACACACCCCTACTTGAAAGTTTTGCGGTATAATTCTAAGCAGTGTTACAGTTATGTTGAACTCAATGGGCTTAGACGAATGCAGTAGTTTTTGGGAGTATGGGGCTGTAGCTCAGTGGTAGAGTATCTGCTCGGCATGCAGAAGGTTCCAGATTCAAACCCCAGCATCTCCAGCTAAAAGCATTGGGTAGTAAGTGATGTGAAAGACCTCTACCAGAGACCTTAGAGAATCACTGCCAGTCTGAGTTGATAATATTGACCTTGATAGACAATGGCCCAATTCAGTGTAAGATAGTTGCATATGTCCATATATAACTCTCTTTGGGATTCTTCTGTTGAGGTGGGTATCTCTTCTAGGTCATGTAAAATCATACTGATTAATACCTTCTTATCCTTGGACTCATTCCATACTCTTTTATTATGATATGTTCCCATAATATTTTATTATGATGTAGAAATCTTGATTTTAATCAGCTCTGGATCCTGATGTTGGTTGCCATGCAAACTGGAAATAATGTGCATATTTTAGGTGGTGTTAACTAGCTAGCTATGTTACTGTCATGTTATATTTTTACTATTTTAAGCTATTCATTTGCAAGCACAGAGGGAGAAACAAAGGATGGATTTAAGAATTCAGTCCAACCCCCCCCCCCAAAAAAAGATTTTTGTTGTTTCCCTCAAGGGCCAAAATAAATTAACTACACTTTTTCAGTCTGTTCAAAGAATGTCATTCATAGGTCTGTTCTGGATAACATGAACCTAATTCTTGCTTGATAATAGCAGAGGTTAATGTTTGTTCAACAGAGAGGAAAAGTAGTCTGTATGATGGAAATGGGGATAATGGAAAGCTATTGTAGCTAATCTGTAAAGAAATGTAATAGGTACATAAAAATGGATAGAGAAGTTCCACTTGGAAGAAGTAAAAAAGAATCCAGTTGTACAATGGTGAATTTGTTGTACAGGAAGAATTACATGTGCCTAACTTCCATGAAAGGACTGTGGTGGCTCAAGTGGTTAAGATGCTGAACTGCAGACCGGAAGGTCGGTAGTTCAGCAGTTTGAGACCCGAGTGCCGCATGACGGAGTGAGCTCCTGTCTCTGGTCCCTGCTCCTGCCAACCTAGCAGTTTGAAAGCAAGAAATTGCAAGTAGATAAATAGGTACTGCTTTGGTGGGAAGGTAACAGCATTCCGTGTGCCTCGGTGTCTAGTCATGCCAGCTACATGACCACGGAAATGTCTTTGGACAGCGCTGGCTCTTCATCTTGGAAACAGAGATGAGAACCGCATCCCTCGGGTCGGATTTGACTGGCTTTCGAGCAAGGGAAACCTTTACCTTTACCTAACTTCCATGATTTCCCTAATGTTTTCTCTCATCCTACACCATGATACTTTAATGGTATATTTATCCTGTTGACTTAACATGCATCAATAGTTATTCCCTCCTCCTAGAAAAACCTGAAAAGTATAATTCTTTTAGGTGAGGGATCACTAAGCTACAGTTCCTAGGATCTCTTGGCAGAAGTCATTGCTGTCAACTTTGTATCATGCTTGTGATGATGATATGGCTACATGCGTGGGTATTATTTGCATGCTAACCCTGGAAATTATGAGAATTTCTCTCAGCATTCTTCATAGTCATGTGCCAAAACCAGGCCCATAGCCAGAATTTTTTTTAGGCAGGCGCATTCAAATTTCTTAGAGGGCACCCTACTCCCGTCCCAAGCTGCTCTGCAGTTTCTGCCACCCG